ATTGGTCACATGAAATATTCTAATTTTGTGAAATACTGGATTTGGGTTTTTTTTTGTCTTTAATCCATAATCATCAAAATTGAAACAAATAAAGGCTTGAAATATTTCACTTTGTGTGCAATGAACTAATATAACATACAAGTTTCACTTTTTGAAACAAATTATTGAAATAAATGGACTTTTCCTTGATATTCTAATTTTTTGGCACATACCTGTATGTTTCCGCCCTGATGAAGACCCAGTGAGGTCCAAACCGGTAGACGGCTTTTTACTGGAGATGCTCTCTTATAGGTAAGAGTGCTACATTCAAAATGTTGCTTACATTCCAAATTCCAAATGGCACACTGGGTGGATACAGGGACAACAACATGCAGCTGGCATTTATGTAATCTTAACCATCAGGCTCCCAGATGTGAACAAGAAAATTATGAAAGATGCAGCAGACTAATGTAGCAATTAGATGGAATACGAGACAAACATATTTGCTATAATGTGTTTTACTGTTTAGGCCTCAGTTTTTACTACTTATTCACCAGACAGTGGTTTTCAATTTCTCAACTAAAGAGTAAATTGTTTTTATACAGATAAAATTTACATACTGTATAACAACTCTGTTCAAAGGTAACAAAATGCATCTATCTGCACAGAACCACAAGTTCTTACTTTTATGCTAATACTTGTGGCCATATAGTGCAAACAGGAACTCCAGCTGTCAGTCAAAGGAAGTGAAGTAAAAAGCCATCACCTCAAAACTATATTGAGGTTCTCACCTCTATTGAGATGAAATGAACAGGTATCCTGGTATTAGGCTATGAATAAAAATAGGCAACTGTGGTGCATGTGAAAGTCTGAACCACAATCCAGTTTCCTGCTGGGTTTGTTCAGCTGTGCAGAATGATGAGCTTCAGCCAAGAGTCTTTAGGATGTGAGAGCGCAGCACAACGCTATGAAACCAGCTCCTGCCTGTTGCTGCAGGTCTGTCTGTAGTCCCTCTCCTTCATGAAGGCCACGTTCTCCAGCAGCCTTGTCCGAACAGACTCATCCACCGTCAACACAAGAGTCACCTCTTTGAACACCTTACACACCGACACCTGCAATGAGGATGAAGGTGAGATTCACTTACCACACAGCCACATTTAGGGGTCTACCGGGAATCACACACAATGAGAGTACATGATCTTATCACCTGCTGGAAGTGGAGTTTCTTGAACATGCTGATGCTGACCTGGTTGTCCAGTCCGATTTTTACTTGAAACTTCTTGATCCCGAGTTTGGTGACTCCTGGTGGAAGATGACACAGGTTGATTCTCCAACTAATGATGAACACAAGACTGAATTGCAGAAAAATGGGCAGTAATTCAAGAGGTGTGGAACTTCTACACAGTGACTTTAAGCTTGTCTTCTGCTCAAACTGTACTGACAGATGGCATCAGATGCTCACCGTAGCACATCATCATGTGTGCCACCTCTTTCCCAATGCCCTTGCCTCTGTAACTGGGCTCTGTAAAAGACAAGGAGAATATAGTGTCCAGATATAAAGAGATGTACACAGGAAATGATTGAGATGTACAAACCACAACACAGGCTGACTGTAGATATTTGCTCAGCCTTCGATTTTGAATCACTTCTAAGATAAGCACACTGGGCATCACCTGCTATCATGATCTCCAGCTCAGCCAAGGAGAGGTCTGTTGGATCCGTCAGGAACATGTTGACATCTCCCACCATGCACTGCTCCTCTTCTATACTGGGATCTGCCCATCGCTGCTTATCCAAGATGATGAATGTGCACTCTGGGAAAATATAAAAAAAGTCAAACAGCTTTTCTTTAAGTAAAGGTAGAATGATTTTACTAGTAGATATTTTACTAATATCATATCCAGTGATTACCAATTCTTTATAAACACTTGAACCTAACCAATCTGATGGATGATGGTACGAATGTCTGGAAGGAATGATTTGGAAGCCATAAGGACAGAACCTGAAAGCAGTGTTGACCTCATAAAGCACATCTTTGAGGAAATCAAGGAGTCAGCTGGAGAAAGCTGGATGGAAGCGGAATGTAAGGAGAAACTGCAAATTCATCAAGAAATTGAGATGGAGCGGGCTCACAGGGTCGGGAAACCTTCTGATCGGGGACTGAGGGCGGTGATGGTAAAGTTGATGAAAGAGAAGGATAAGGCACACATACTGCAACAAGCAAAGAAGCTTAAAGGATCTAATATTTATATAAATGAAGATTACACCGAGTCTGTGAGGAAGAGAAGAAGGGAGTTGATGCCGAGGTTAAGGGAGGCCAGGGCGAGGGGAGACAT